AAATGTTTGTTTGCTACACACACACAGTCATCAAAATAAAGGTAATTTAGTTGCATTAAATCTATCATTGGCCTTTACATAGATTTTTTCAGTGCACAAAATGTATGGTATAAAAAGTATTGTAAAATTTTCTTTTCTCTTTAGATCAAAAATATATTCTTTAACTGTTTTCTGAAAGTCAGTATAGCTCTTCTATATGACCACACAGCAAAATCCTCTGTATAACATTTACTCAGTTTAGATAGTACTTCATCCCTCTCTAAATCGAGTTAGAGTTTTACTCAAGTAAAGGGACAAAGAATTAATACGGTGATGTCACAATCTCCAGCGATCATAACTCCATAGATCGCTGGATTTGACTAAATATAACCATGGACTACAAATCCGCCATTTCTGGACTACATTTTCATACATGCACTCCGCTCACACTCACACATGCTTCCTCAACTACACTGATTACACTGACACCACCTGAGGATTGTCAGAGACTGACTGCACACACTATTTAAGTTACACACTCACTCAATCACTTGGCCGAGTCTTGTTTATCTGTAGATGACATTACAACGCGTTTTCCTTGTCTTGGTTTCCCGTGTTTTGACCTAGCCATGTTTATCCAGTTCTATCCAGTCTGCCGCCTGCCTTCTGACCTCTTGCCTGTGTTTGACTACGATTCTGGATTTGCCTTTATAAATCTGTTTGCACCTGTGTTGACTATTGCTAGCCTGACTTCGATTAAACCTGCATTTGGATCCAAACCTCAGTTGTCTGGGTCACTCCCCGTGGTAACAGGTGATGACTGAGAACTGATAATAAGCACTTGCTGTTAATAAACAGAAACACGGAAGAGAAACACAAAACTACACCTGACTTCAGTCACAGCCTTAGATGAAATCAGCTGAAATATAATACATTGAAGCTCTCAAAATCTCAGCAGAGGATCATTAAGCAACTCCACAAACAGCTTTACTTATTACCAAACGTTTGCCTTTATTTAAAGATAGACCAAATACTCTTTAAACTGAGTAAATATTACTCAGAGGATTTTGCTGTGCATATCTTCATTTTGGGAGCTTTTTGTTAAAAATGCATATTAGGGTTTATTGACCTTATTCTAAAATGCGGAAGTGCGCCTGTTTTTGCGATTGTCTTAGAAGTTCCGTTTCAGTCGCCTATGGGAGAAATGACAAGGAATAATAAACTGCAAAAAAGGTCAAACTACTTGCTCTACAAACAAATGTTTGCATGACTATACAGACCAAGTAGAATAATATAACAAGGAAATATCAATTTGCAACATCAAACAGCGAAACGAGCAGTTTTTAATGTCTAAAAATGAATGGAAGTGAATGAGACCGGAAGTCTCGTGCCAAAAAGATTCAAATGGCAGCGCCCGCTCGTCTGCAGAGAATAAGGTCAATACTGTGCTGTGTCCTCCAATAACCCCCTTAAAACTTTCTCTTATAAGATCAATAATTTTGAGTATTATTTTCCTTGATTTGGTCAATGAATGAAATTCCCAATCATCACATACACACACAAACACACACAAAACCGCCTAAAAAGTTTTGTAAAGCATGAATGGGCAGGTGTGTATCACTAAATAAATGCTTCAATCATTTAATGCATCTGGGTCAAAGTCAATCCTTCCTTTCAGGTTATGCGGGTGAGTATGTAATAATATCAAATTAATCCCAGTAAACACTGTGTTTTACCAAGAATGTGCAGTAAACGTGATGCTGAGGAATTATCTAAACAGAGTAAAAATACTTTATCTGAAATTATCATGGCACATTTTTTTTGTAATTCAATTATTTCAGTGTTGTCTTTTATGTCAGATGCTAAAATCTTCCATTTACTTTAGTCAAACAGAATACCACAAACTATCACCAGCGACTGGTGATTTATGTTTAATTTATACTGTACATTGATTAAAACTTATTAACATATGGGGTAGGACTGTAAAAAGTCTTCTTGTCTAATTTCTACTAATTATGATTAATGCAATCCATATAAAATACATTTAAATATGAGGAATGTATAGAAAACACTGACACAAGTTATATGAATCTCCCATTATAATTACTGAACTTTGTTGTTAATGATGAAAGAATATGTCTAAATGCGAAATTCAGTGTTAATTGATGACTTTGAATAAATCTGACTGATTATAAACTCAACGGGAATTTGTGTAATATAAGAATTCTGAAGCAACATATGCACAGACCTACAGTAAATAAAATGCTAATGCAATTTCAAATTTCACTTTGATTCATTTGAGGGGCATTGTCTTGCCACAAGGCCTAGTTAACTTTTGACCCTGATTTAATAGTGACGCTCTTTATTTCTTTTTACATTTCACTTTAACTGGGACAGACGCAATCATTTAGTTTAAAGGTAGTTCACACAAAACTACAAATTGAATCGTAATTTGCTCACAATTAACTGGTTATAAACCTTTATGAGTTCATTTCTTGTTGAGCAATAATTAGATATTTAAAATAAAGCTGAAACCCATACAAATACTGTGGAAGTCAGTGGTTTTAAATTTCCAGTCTTCTTCAAAATAACTATTTTGTATGTCTTCAACAGAAGTGTATTGATGAAAACACTGTCAGTTTGACAGTGTGAACTATCCTTTTGTGTTCTTCAATTCAATCTTCAATTTGTGGGGCATTATTATATATTTTGTAGGTCTCTATCCTCCCACAAACCCCTTCTAAACTTAATTTTCAACCCTAATTTAAACTGATTGCAGTGAATTGACACTATTATTTTGTACTTTAATTTCAACACCTAAAACAATTTAATTGTGCATTTTTTGCACCATTTCTTAAATTTGTGGGGGATTTTTGTTCATTACATTTTAGCCTCAAGCCCTCATTAATTTGCAACCATGATATAAAGTAGACCCTCTTTATTCACATTTCAATTTAATTGCAACGTCTGAAATAGTTTCGATTAATTCTGCAGGGACCATTTTCCCTCTTTTCTTGAGTTTGTGGGGCAGTTTCTTGAATAAATCTAGGTCATGGTTTTGATTCCCTATTCATAAAAGTTGAATGTATTCTTAAATATAGTCTGCTCAGACTTGTCATCACATCAGCAGGTCGTCCAGCTTTTGGTATTTATGGGTTTGCTTGTATTTTTGTGAGTAATTTGCACAATACATGAACGACTAACACTAAAGGGGACTTTCCTCAACATATATTTATATCTTAATGCTGACTGCATGCCTATACAGTAAACATCACGGGACAGTTTTGTAGACCTCAAACACTGACACACTGCACAGGGAACATGCATTGTTGACTAACAAGGGGAAGTGTTCGTGACTAGTTAACAGGGCCCCTGGAGAATGACCCTGAGAAAGATGCTATTTATTAATACTGAGTTTGAAGTCATAAGTTTGCATCCGTCAGATAATAACCAGCCTGACGAGTAAAAACTGTCAGCTGACTGAAGATGAGCTGAAATGAGAATGTTTATCAGTAAATCACATGCATCTTTATTCAAATTGACAAAAAACTTGGCAAATTGCTAAAACAACAAATAATAGTTTATCTTTTAGTTGATCATTTGGAAAAGTGGCAGAAGGTAGATTTTTCAGATGAATCATCTGTTGAACTGCATCTTAATCATCACAAATACTGCAGAAGACCTATTGGAACCTGCATAGACCCAAGATTCTCACAGAAAACAGTCAAGTTTGGTGAAGAAAAAAATCATGATTTGTGGTTACATTCAGTATGGGAGATCTGCAGTGTGGATGGCAACATCATTACATTACAAACCACAGAAGAGGGCAAATGTTTCAGAAGGATAGCGCTCCTTCTCATACTTCAGCATCTACATCAAAGTTCCTGAAAACAAAGGTCAAGGTGTTCCAGGATTAGCCAGCCTAGTCACCAAACCTGAACGTTATTGAGCATGTCTGGAGTATTGAAGGCATTGAAGATGAATCCAAAGAATCTTGATGAATTCTGGGAGTCCTGCAAGAACGCTTTCTTTGCCATTCCAGATGACTTTATAATAAGTTATTTGAGTCATTGCAGAAATGTATGGATGCAGTCTTCCGAGCTCATGGGAGTCATACACAATATCCATTCTTATTTTCACTGCACAATGACTTTATATTATATACTGTATATTATTTCTGTTAAGTGACAAGACTTTTGTCTAGGCAAGTCAGACCTTACTATCCTAATTAAATAAGTAAAAATCAAGACATGATCATATTATATTTTGGCCAAATTTGCATGATATAGAGGTCTGTGCCTTTCATATAAGCCACTTCTGATACCAAATGATCAACTAGAAGTCAAGCTACTATTATTTGTTGCTCCTAAAACTTGGATAGGTGACAAGACTTTTGTCAGGCAAAATTTATTTGTTTATGACAGATGAAAAATGTTTTAATATTAGTTGGAATGGGAAATAAGACAAGGAGTCTCTACAATAGTTTTAGTAAATTTCACATACAAATATATTTTCTGCAACCTGTTTATAGGGCTTGGATGAGTTTTAATATTGGGGTCAAAAGAAATGTTTGGGGGAGAAGCATATGTACTTTTAAGTGTTAAATAATAAATAAATAATTATTTAAGAAATAATGCTAATAAAAAATGCAAAGAAATACAAATGCCACTAAAAAATTATAAAAGTCAGCTTTACATCTAATAAATATAAAATGCATTTTTGGAGGCATTTTTGCCACACGTCGTAGTCATTTCAGACTGCAAACTAAATGTAATTTAGTAATTTAAATGACATTCTTTATTCATTTTCCCATTTCTCTTATACATTATGAGAGATATAATGGTTATGGTATAGTTTAATAGCACAGGGGCATTATCCCCTTGCATATACACTACTCCCAACTTCCCGCTTTTCCTAAAACTGTAACCTGACCCCTGACATCATCGTTTGGGCTGGTGTTTAATCTATTCCAGATATTCTTCCCTTCCCCTCAACAAGAGCAACTTCCTCAAAACTTCCTCATAAAAAGAGGCCATCGACCGTTTCAATCCCGCAGCCTTCTGTTGTTCTGAACTTTTGGAAATCGCTCAGGTAATCAGACTCTCGACTCAAGTGTGCATTGTTTATATGTTAACTACTTTAATATGGTGTACTCGTAAATATTAACATATCGAAACAATAGAAGTGCTCGGTACAGCTTTCGTTTTCTGTTTACAAAGCTTTTGTAATATATTTTAGAGCGTTTGTTTTACTGTAACAAAATGGTGCATTTCTTCTTGCTCATTTCAGTTCTCAATAACTTAGGTTACTTCTCTAAACCGACCGAAATAATTTGCAACGCCAGTTTCGTTTTTGCTTGTCGTTTACAGTTAACATAAAAGCTAAATAGTTCTCTGTGTGTGATTTTGCACCTTTGACTGCAGGTCAGAATGGGTAGATTTGGCGGATTCCCTCTGCTGGTGGTGCTGTGGTGTGGACTGGCTCACTCTCTGGACAATCTCTCTCTGGATGAGGCTTGGGAGAGCTGGAAAATCACTCACAAGAGGGAGTACAATGGCCTGGTGAGTAAACAGCCTACAAAGCCTGACAATTCAATCTCGCCTTTCAGGGTGCCGAGAGTGTTATTAGATTGGGTTAGAGATTTCTTCTTCATTGGGGATAAAAAGCCTGTTTATCTCTTCTCTGGAAAATAGATAGTTAAAGATGGCTTGTTTTATGTAATTTTATGTGTGACTACAGTGATTGGAATGTTCTTGCTTAATGTGTTTCTAGTAATGCTGTGCTTGTACATACACTTCACCTCAGTAAAAACAATGAGGAAAATCTTTCAGTTTCTGGAAATGTCAGTTATTTATTTGGAATTGTATGCTATCTATCTATCTATCTATCTATCTATCTATCTATCTATCTATCTATCTATCTATCTATCTATCTATCTATCTGTTTGTCTGTCTGTCTGTCTGTCTGTCTGTCTGCCTGTCTGTCTATCTACTGTCTGTCTGTCATTGCATTTTTTTTCAGACAATCAATATGCCCATACAGGTAAGGGTAAGGTAAAGGGAACTGATATACAAGTGAAAATTTCTGTTAATTTAGGCTACTCACCCCTAGTTCACCTGAGATGAGATTACTTTTTTCTTTACTTTACCATTAAAGAAGATTATTTTTAGCTAAATACATGGTCCTTGATGACTCATAAAATGCTATTTTAGTTTCCTTACATAAAAATCCAAGTAGGTAATTTGTAAAAAGCACATTTTAAGACCTATAGTTACATTTGAAAAGGAAGCCAGGGAATTAAGACTTATGTGGCTTACAATTTTTCTCAATCGCTTTGGTACATTTCTCAGCTCAGAATTGAAATTTGCAAAACAGTAAGTGCATTTCTCAAAACAACGCGTACAAATAGCAAAACACCATGGGTTACCTGCAAAAGTCAGTCTCTTGCTCAAAGTCTTTAGTTCATCTCTCAAAACTACATTTCTGTATCAATGAACAAGTCAGTGCCGTCAGAATGACAAGTCATTGTGTGCGGATAAGACAATCAAATTACTTAGTCATGTTGTCAATACAATAGTGTGCTCTGAATGGGAGTTCTGATGTAAACTATGGCAACTATTTTTAGCTATTTGTACTGTAATTTGTTGACAGATCATGTCATTGGGATACAGAAAAGAAAATACAAAACTGCATTGCACAAAGAAAAAAAAGAAAAAAGAAATGTGAACATAGGACAACCTCCTTTTAGACCTCCATTAGAAGAAGTAAAGCCTGGGATAAATTTGGGATAAATTTGCCAGTTATTGACAGATTTAGAATAAAAAAGTCTAATGCAAATGTATAGGAAATTGCATTATGACATATTACGTCAACTTGTTCAGCCATTTTGCCTGTGAAGACTTATGTAATGAATCAACAATTAAATGTTGTGGGGTTGAGACTGTTCAACAGAGACCAAAATATTACAGTTTGATCAACATGACATAAGCAACTGATAATGTAGGAAATATCAGAGAATTGCACATAATCATTTGCATGAATGTACAAAAGCATTTGCTACCTGTTCAAAGGAACAAGAAACTGCTTTTCTGATGTGCACAAGTGACACAATAATCTGAAGGTTGAACTGGTAGTTTTGAGAATTTAAATTCTGAGAAATTTACCAAAGTGACTGAGAAAAACTGTAATAAAACATTAAGTATGCTTCTTAAATATGTAGTGAAAAAAACAATGGAAGATTTATGTTATTTTAAAAAATACACATTTATTTTGGACAATGGGGGCCACCATTTATTAATTTGAGCAGTTTAGTTGTGATGTTACAGTAAATGGATACAGACACATGCTTCCTGACTGATATCCATGTTGACAAAAGGCTAGACAAAAAAGCTAGACAACAAACTTGTCAACATCTATTTTTGTTGCTGGAGAAAACTGTAAACTTACAGACTGCAGTAAATATGATCAGCAATAAATACACTGTAAAAAATCCTGGTTGCCTTAAATTTTTAAGCTGAATCAAATTAACCTTATTTCAAGAGTTCACAGTTAGCTGGTGATTGATTATAAAGCTTGTTTGGCAGGTTGTCCCAGGAGAGAGCCTTGAGCTCATAAGATCCACTAGCCCAGGGCTTCCTCCCATTTGCAAAGCGAGAGGAGACTTTAAGCTCAGGTAGATCTCGAGAACTCCCCTGCTGTAGTAGCAAATGAACAGATAGTGATTGCTCTTAAGAGAAAACTACTTATTAGGAGCATGTCTATGGGGTCGATTTGAATTAGTCAATTAATCTAAGTTGCATGTTTTTGGACAGTGGGAGGAAACCTGGGAATGTGAAACCATATCACAATTTTGGATTTGTAGTTGTGTTTTATTAATAACAGTATCAGGTAGAGTGCTGGTAGAGGTGCAGCCATGAAAATAATGGCAGCCCACAGTCCAAAATATGTATAAACAGTGTATTTATTTTTAAATAATGTGTATCTTTCATGTTTTATTTCTACATGTTTCATATATGTTGTCTGAAGTCATACAAGTCTTATTACACAGAGTCTAATTAAATTTAAACATCCTCTAATTGACATAAAAAATATCCATACATAAAAATCCTGTTGAGCATGTCATCATAAAATTATGTATGACGGGTGTAACAAGGTGACCCAATCAAAAGACAAGTGGTGCCCAAACTTTTTCTTATGAAGGGCCAAAAACAAGTTTGATTGAGGGCTGTGGGCCGAAGGTATATGCCAAACTGCACTTTAAAAATGTAGAGATCCACACATTTTGTTCAGGTTGTCAAATCAAAGTTACCACATTTCGGTGGATTAAACATAAAACAAATAAGTTGTACCCCAAAAAATTGTGTGGTCGCATAAGTAGGTTGAATAAGCAGAGTGTTTATTACCTTAAAGTTGCCATGGATAATTTCATTATTTATTTCATATTATTAATAAATAAATAAATAGATTTAATCATATTAAATAATGCAATAGATTTTTTTTTTTTTACATTTTATAATGAACATTTTTTAAACACAATGGAGATCAAAGCCAAATACACTAGTAAAGCTGCACCTGCCTCTGCTGATGTTTTCTGCATTGTCTTCTATCCATCAGTGACTGTATTTTTAAAATTTGATTAGTTTACAACATGTAATTAAAACATTTGATTTCAGTTTGCTTTTTTGTATTTTAACAATAAAACAAACTACCACAAAAAACTGCTCCTCTTCTAAGATGGTATGGTGGGCCAAATTAAAGGTTACCAAGGACCAACTTTGGCACAGGGGCGCTAGTTTGGGCATCTCTGGTTTAAACTAAGTGTGTGGATTTTATAGATGCCCCCTTAGCCACTATTTTTCCAATTTAAAATTCACAAAACATTTACACATTCGGACTTTACACATACAACAATGGATCTGAACCATGATTTCTGTTACTAACACCGATCAAGCTACATGATTCACAAATCTTTGATTAAAGCACAGAATGTCTTACATCTTGTGCGGTAGATATGATGGTGTATCATATTTCAGGAATGTAACAAACAACAAGTTGGTGGATGTGTTGAATTAAAGAAAAAGGCCAGCACTTTGAGAATCAAAAGCAAAATGATTACTAGTGGTTCCTGTGAATACATTGAGGTCTTATGAATTCTAACAATTTGTCCGTGCATGAAACTACTATAAATATTATAACATTATTACCTTAGTATTTGTATCATGTTCTAACATGTGTTTCATCATGGACAGAATGAGGAGTCTATTCGACGGACGATTTGGGAGAAGAACATGCTGTTTATTGAGGCCCATAATAAAGAGTATGAACTTGGGATTCATACCTATGATCTGGGCATGAACCATTTTGGTGACATGGTAAGTATTGTTACAAACTCACCCAAGTTTATTGGGCTATATTTTCATAGCTTGGAACCCACTGCTTGTTTAACCACTGTACAGTGTTACGCTGTTAAGCTATCACAATAACACATTCTTTTGATTGTTAGATTAGAGCGAGCATGTGACAATGACTCATCTTATTTTTTGTAAAGGCCTGTTTACTAAAACCTGTTCCAAATAAATTGTTAACATTTTTGAGAGTTTGCCAGTTTTTTTCAAACTAGATCTTTTTGACCAAATCTTATCTTATTGCAGACACTAGAAGAAGTGGCAGAGAAAGTGATGGGTCTTCAGATGCCCATGTACCGCGATCCAGCAAACACATTTGTGCCTGATGACAGAGTGGGAAAGTTGCCCAAATCAATTGACTACCGTAAACTGGGATACGTCACTTCGGTGAAGAACCAAGTAAGCAGATCACTAAACCTTCCAGTAATATAGCTGTAACATTTCCTCTTTCTCACACACTTATAACCCTGTCATTATTCTCTGGTAATAACAAAGTGCTTTCACACCAATGCCCACAAAATGCCTTCATGGTGAGAGTTCCACTACAGATTAAACTAGACTTGGTCGCCCTCTAGTGGTTAAGGAGTAATATTTCTTTCACCAGTAAATAAAGGGCGTTATGCTTTAGTTAGCTTCACTCTTTAAAATAAAACCACCAAATAGGTGTTTTCAAAGTAGTCAGAACCACTTTGACTTCCATTTTAATTTATTTTTCAGTTAATAGTTTGTATTGGAACAACTTTTGTCTTGTTGTGAATCATTTTCCACTAAAAGGATCATTCTGTGAATGCACCATATTTTATTTATCATCTTCATGAAACCTTAGATTTATTCTAAGTGTTTTTAATGCTGTTTTTCTACCGTTCTCCATCAGGGATCATGCGGCTCCTGCTGGGCGTTCAGCTCTGTTGGTGCCCTTGAAGGCCAGCTGATGAAGACCAAAGGTCAGCTGGTGGACCTCAGTCCTCAGAACCTGGTGGACTGTGTGACAGAAAATGACGGCTGTGGTGGAGGATATATGACAAACGCCTTCAGATACGTCAGCAACAACCAAGGCATTGATTCAGAGGAGAGCTACCCCTACGTTGGAACGGTATCTATCTATCTATCTATCTATCTATCTATCTATCTATCTATCTATCTATCTATCTATCTATCTATCTATCTATCTACAAGGACTGATTCACTGATTCAAGTTCTTTGAACTGAAAATGTTAACGATTTCACAGCCTAACAATGATTTTAAGGTGAAGTATAGTTTCTGCAGTATTAGTGTTAGATCAGGGATGCTCAACCCTGTTACTGGAGATCTACCTTTCTGCATAGTTCAGCTCCAACCCTGATCAAACACACCTGAACCAATTAATTAGGACATGGACAGCACTTGATAATTCCAGGCAGGTGTGTTTGATATGGGTTGCAACTGAACTCTGCAGGAAGGTATGTCTCTAGGAACAGGGTTGAGCAGCCCCCTTGTATTAGATACTTAAGCTAAAATAATGAAGCAGATTTTCTATTGTTGTTAAACAAGGACTGATTCGTTAAAGTTATTTAAATTGAAAATGTTAATGAGATCATAGCTTAACAATGATTTAATGGTGAAGTTTGTAGTTTCTGCAGTACTAGGGTTAGATACTTTAGCTCAGGGGTGGCCAACCCTGTTTCTGGAGAGCCACCTTCCTGCAGATTTCAATTGCAACCCATATCAAACACACCTGCCTGTAATTATCACGTGGTGTTCAGGTCCTAATTAATTGGTTCAGGTGTGTTTGATATGGGTAGCAACTGAAATCTGCAGGAAGGTTGCTCTCCAGAAACAGGGTTGGCCACCCCTGCTTTAGCTAAATAACAAAGCAGATTTTCAAACCATTTTTGTGCTCAACTCTCCCTTATATGATAATTCTTGTCTTTATCGTATGTTACTGTTTCATAGAACATTTTGAGGGATGTAAACAAAAACAATGGTCCCAATGTATTTCCTGTTTTACATTTTTAAATTCTATATCTTCTGAGAATCAAAAATGAGCCACATATTGATAAATAACGTTATGATAGCTGTTTTAACATTAAGTAATGATTGAATTGCCTCTTGTTACAGTTATGAAATAGTGTGATAACAAGCAGGGTTGCCCAATGACATGACCACACTGAAATGGTCTATATTCTGTAATAAAGGCTTGTAAAGTTTACCTTATCTGTGAAGAGAAACCATCCCTACTGAAAAAAACAGCTTAAACCAGCCTAGGCTGGTTGACTGGTTTTAGCTGGTCGACCAGCCTGGTTCTAGAGGGGTTTTGGCCATTTCCAGGCTGGTTTCCAGCCTTTTCTAGCCTGGGGTCCGTTCTTCGTACCTCGCTTAAATGATCTAAGATGATTTGGCAGATCCTGGATCTTTTAATCTTGATAACTGATCTCTCGCTAATTTGGTTCTTCAAACGAGTTTGCGAATCAGATTAGAATGTCTGGATAAACTGATCTGAGATCGCTGAAGGACAGATCTATCGATCCTCGAAATCATGATCAGCAATGCAACGATTGGCTGACGGCACAGCAGCGTAATGACATCATCTGATTAATATTCAATTATCCATGTGAGCAAAATGACATCAAATTAGCAGTAAACGGCTTGTTAAATATGACACGCAGTAACTTCACATTTGTTGTGAGCTGCAATTTCCACTTTCATGTGTCAAGTGTATTCATCATGTATTTCAATGCAAATCAATGTATTTAGTTCCACATTTAGAAAATATTTTCTTTATTATAGTTGCCGTTTTTTAATCGGCGTAAAGAATAACTGGTTGTTTACAAAAGTATTTTCATATTGGTAAAGGCAGCTGCAACTTTTGTGAAGCATCAAAATCACCAGCATATTAACTTTCAAGTTTATGACTGCATAAATGTATTATTGCTTTAAAAAGTCACATATGTGCATTTTTATTATACACAATTTGTACTAAAGCGATCTAAAAAGTTCATATCAATAAGTTTTCTCTTTGCACCACCAGGTGGCAGTTGTACTTTCATTTCGAGGGTGCAGATTGCATACGTTTAATTAATATGTATAACTTAATTCATTTTATTAATGACTATAACTTTATATATATAGTTTAAAAAATATGTACCATTTTCCCAAGTGTATATAACTACTACTGTAAGAAAATACCAGAATTCGGAACATACTTTCTGTATTATCTTTGCTTGAACTGAGCCGATCTAATCCTGTTTATATGATTTGAACCTGCTCCCGATCAGGTTTGACCTAGCAGAACTGTTGCTATGACAACAACTCTCGGATCAGCTTCTAAGAACGAAACGATCCTGGATCGTGTCAAATCGTCAACATCCAAATCCAGCTAATTGAGTAATCCACGTACGAAGAACGGACCCCTGGTCTTAGCTGGTTAGGCTGGAAAATGACTAGCTAAAACTAACTTGACCAGCCTAGCCAGCTATGTCCAGCTTAAACCAGGCTGGTCAAGCTGGTTTTAGCTGGATTTGGTCATTTTCAGCCTGACCAGCAAAGACCAGGCTGGATATGGTTGGAAACCAGCCTGGAAATGGCCAAACCCCTCTAAAACCAGATTGGTCAACCAGCTAAAACCAGCCAACCAGCCTAGGCTGGTTTAAGCTGTTTTTATCAGCAGGGATGTACGTTAGGTGATTCAAATTAATCCATTCCATCAAACGTTTATCATTGTTTTACCTCCCATGTAAACAGTCATGGTCCCAAAATGTCTGAACTCTGAACTGACTCTGTATAATACAATAGCCACGGCCAAAACTCTCCCAATTGGTTGAGTTGGAAATTGATTGACAGTTTTTAAACTTCCCTTTCTCCCTCTTTTGATGAAGTCGGAGAGTCTGTTTTCAATTTTGGACCGATAAACTCTTTAGTAACATAATTACAAAAGTCACTGAACAATAAACTGCGTTAAGAGACTTTGTTTCGGACCAAAATGCTTATGCTGTACAAACTACTTTGGTCTTTTGTTGACGTTTATAAATGTTCGTCTCACTACTGCTCTCTGCAGGATCAGCAGTGTGCCTACAACACTTCAGGAGTAGCAGCCAGCTGTAGAGGCTATAAAGAGATTCCTCAGGGTAACGAGAGGGCACTGACCGCCGCCGTGGCCAATGTGGGACCCGTGTCAGTTGGCATAGATGCCATGCAGTCCACCTTCCTGTACTACAAAAGCGGTACTTAACATCTCTTCTACAACTATATTGCCTGTAGTTCCATGTTGTTTTGCTGATATGTGTATAATAAAAGTCACTAATAAAACCCAAAACTCACTGACAGGTGTATACTATGACCCAAACTGCAACAAGGAAGATGTCAACCACGCAGTGCTGGCTGTGGGCTACGGAGCCACACCGAGAGGCAAGAAGTACTGGATTGTGAAGAACAGGTGAGAAAAATATTTGTTTTTCATGAAAATATCACTGTTTAACATCATAAAATATTATTTAAAAATTACAGGTAATTTATACAGTAATTTACATTATACAGTCAAATAATTGTGTGTAAATATAATATAAAAAGACACCTTTTTTCTGTTTTTGAAGCTGGGGTGAAGAGTGGGGAAAGAAGGGCTATGTCCTGATGGCTCGTAACCGAAACAATGCTTGCGGTATTGCAAACCTGGCCAGTTTTCCCGTCATGTGAGAGCTGGAAGAACTAGATCAAACTTGTCTGCTGCTGACCAGTACCAAAAAAGGGACTCAATCACTATCACTGCAACATGAAACCATGCTTGGGGAAATGCTTTCAAAAAGAGGCATTTGATTTTAATAACACAAGGTTGTGGTCCTATTTTGTCTTAGATGTCTTGTTCTTTATCCAGCAGTAAGAATTGTTTTGTGCAATATTTGAGATTTAGAAGGGAAGTTTTGATATTGAGTATGCAGTCAGTTTATATTTGATTCTTTCTTTCCTTTTTTTATTCCCCTGGAGGGATCGGATCTCTGAAACACGTGTTTTATGATGTTTTGATTAAAGAAATTACTTTTTTGACCATTAATTCTGAGTGCATCACATTTGAGTACATCAAATATGTCTGATGTAAGTTTTTAAATTACACTAACAGACTGATAGCGAGACAGTTTCACATCTCTGTACAGAAACATTGTTGAAATAAAATCTAAACAATAAAACTTGAGTGCCAAACCACCTTTATTTTGAACTTTGAGATTTTGTCCTACAAGCTAAAGAAGGTTACGAAGTCTTCGGTTTTGTAGAAGTGGAAGAGAAACCACCAGATGGATTTGGGGAAGTTGAAACCAAAGGACGTCAAGATGAATTTTAAGACAGCACGCAGCTGAAAGAGCTAATCTGTGCATGTAATCTGATGTTCAAACAAAGAAATGATGACAGTTACATGTTAGTTAAAAAAGAATCTTATGATCATAACTGAACCACTTCCTCATGAACAGATGAGTGACCCAGCGTTCCCCTTTATAAATTTTGACGTTGATTCACTTAAAACTGATTAAGACATAAAATCTTTAAACAAGTGATTCAAAAATACAATTGATGTAGATTCTGATGTATATAGTGTATTAGAATAATACTGTTGTGTACAAATAACAAGTACACTTTAAATGTAAACATGAAAAAAGCAATATGATAACTGAGATACCTAAAAATGACATTATTACATAAATGAACATATCAGATACACAGTGCTCAGCATAAATGAGTACAGCCCATTTAGAAAATAATTATTTTGTTTCCATTTCTCAGTGAATAAAGGTAATATATATATTGGTGCATTTGAACAACACAGATTCATTAAATAGATATTAAATACATAAAGTATATATATAATAACGTAATATTTTAGTTACCATATTCGGAAAGATCATACATTTAAATTCATGCTAAATATTGCAAAAATAAATTGCAAACTACAAAATTTCAACAAAATTGTACACATTTGTTTGTTGTTTCTCTTGATTTTAGCTATTTTAAAAAAAATTATTTTATATTTTCTCTAACATAAATTTGAGCTACTAATTTTTGGACCGTGACCGTACGTTATTTTGCTAAAGCTCCAGATTTGGCTTTAGGACTTACTAATCTAATGTATATCCACAAATATAATATTGTAAAGAAAATATTATAGAAAATATAAATTTAAAAGAGATTTGTGAGGGGTTTTATATATATATATATATATATATATATATATATATATATATATATATATATATATATATATATATATATATATTGTACAGTGTGTACATCAAAACTTTTATAATTTTTTTACCGTTGTTAGGCATTTAAAATTCCTGTTATTTACATTTTGGAATTCAGTCATATTTAGTTTATTGTACAATTTTACATGAAAAATGATTTCAGAATGGTCTCATTTATTTTATCACAAATCACACATTTTATTTTTGTGCTTTAAGGCTAATGTTTTTGTCATTATATTTATGATTTTTAAAATTCATTTATTCAAGTGTATTTTAGAAAACTTTTCAGGGAATAAATAGTGATGTGACAGTTTTACATTGAATGTTGAATATGTCATTTTCAGTTCTGTTTGCAGGATGTTTTTTTTTTACTTTCTGAATGATTAAATGCGGTAGTCATTACTGTTTATGGAACAATTTCTCAATGCTCCATAGATTTTGTTCTGAAAGAAAACCGCAGGCATGTAAACGTGACACGAACCGATGACTAATACAAAAAAAACATATTGAAATGTAACAACATATTTTTTTTCTGACAAAAATATATATATTTTATCACTGAATCTCAAGTACTGTAGGCAATTAAGCAATAGTTTACCTCATGAGTAAGCATTTAATAATTTAAGATCTGATTGTTTTCATGTGGTCAAAATCAGCACAATTTTTGATGAATCATGGTGATGAATCACTGAATGATCAACAAATGCATCACGTTCAAGGAAACAGGGTTGGCAACCTAACAATTTAGCAGCTTTCAGAATAAACTTTTGTATGAGGAACTAAATGTAAATGTAAATGATATACAGCCATATCGTACTGCTACGAGTGTGATATTGCATTTATACAATAATTGTGTATAAAAAAAACAAAATCAAACATGGGTGAGTCTCAAAAACTTTTGTATGAGGAACTAAATGTAAATGTAAATGAACTACCTTCTTCTGGATTCAAATCATAAGCTGATAGTTTAAACAGCTGAACAAGCATCTTTTAGTGTCTGCTCTTTGCTGGCTGTATGTGGACGGAGTAATACACAAATGGTAAAGAGGCTGTATGGGTGCTGATCTTACTTAAGTATATTATGGCTATTAGCCAATCAGATTTGAGAACCAGACAGAACTGTTGTATAAATAAATATATATATATATATATATATATATATATATATATATAAACATGATTTTTTAAAAATATTTTTTGACATGATGGTCTAAAAAATCGAAAAGTTTAACGTAATTATTACATCTGCGCAAATGTGTCCCCCACCCTCAATCATGCAGTCAAATCAGGTAAAGGTTTAGTTTTAAAAATCATTTTTAGTTCAGTTTAAGAAAACAAAATAATTTAAAAGGTTTTACAAAATGTTACAAGATACTATACAGTACATGTTGTTATTATTATTTATAAGATTAAGTGATTTATATGAAAAAAAAAACAGCTAAATAAATACATTCAAAATGAATTCAAGTACAAAGGTGTATTTTAGGACTTTTAAACCCCATGGGGGGAATTGCTTAGGGCCCCAAAATAACTAAATGTACCCCTGCTTTTAACACATGGACATTAAAGGCTCTTTATGGACCCATACTGTATGTGCCAGTAATGAACCCTTGTTTTAAATTGATGCTTACATTACTTTTAGAAATATAAATGAATATTTGCTTTCTAAATGAAAGCTTTATTTTTGCCAGGATGGCCAATTTGTGTAATCCTTCATTCATTTTCTCTCGGCTTTGTCCCTTTATTCATCAGGGGTTGGTACAGTTATGAACCGTCAACTGATCCAGCATATGTTTTACACTGTGGACGTCCTTCCAGCTGCCACCCATACACACTCATTCACACACATACACTACGGCCAATTTAGTTTATTCAATTCAGCTGTACTGCATGTCTTTGGACTGTGGGGGAAACCAGAGCACCAGGAGGAATCCCACACCAACATGGGGAGAACATGCAAACTCCACACAAAACGGCAACTGACCAAGCCAGGATTAGAACCAGTGACCATCTTGCTGTGAGGCAACAGTCCTAATCTCTGAGCCACCATGTCGCCCTAATTCGTCTAACAATTTTTTAAAATAAATTTTCTGCACATTTTTTGCATCATGGTTACTTAAATTCACCACGCATTGCATTACAACGTCATTTAGCAAAAATTGGCCTCTTGCAACTTCCCCTTTAAACTTAGCTGCCAACAATGATAGGAAAAATTAGGTCATGGTCATGCAACTCACGTTCCTGTTTGCTAGTGGTGCTGGGGTTAGGTGTCTTTTTTAAACTTTAAAGCAATGACAAGAAATGCCTTAGTGTGTTCATCTAGTACCTTAAACCTAGTACCATCTAGTACCTTTGTTATACAATCTAAAACCCACAATGCAGGGCAACACTGCAAGGTGTTTATTTGATGTGCTTGCTCGAAAGATGATTTCCTCTGCCTGTCTTCCTGTTTCCGGCTAACTTTCATATCAACCTGGTTTCAGACTGGGCTTAGACTCGGTTCAATTAGAACATTTAAGTCATTTTTATAAGATGTGTCCTAAAACAACTGAATACTGCTCTATTTCTTAAGGCAAAACAGTCACTAATATTAAGATCAGTCAGAAGAAGTTTCTTTCAGTTGAAACATGCAGCTCGATTTACATTTTAGTCTGAGGCTCTGCTTTTGTTTTGATTATATAGCACATTTAAAAACAACATACATTGGTCAAAGTGCTAAATCAACACAGCACATATCTAATTTTATAAAAGACAAAACAGTCAAATGCAAGAAAAAAAAAAACAAGATTTTTCAAGAGATGTACAAGCAGGCGCACAAACATCTACTAATCTATTAAGTAAACCATTCCATTACTTAAATTATTGTGAAGATAAGGGCCTATGAAGAATGCTGCTGAAGCAGTTCACCAATACATCTACATGTCAGACCATTTAAACCTTTAAAATGAAATAATAACAACTTACACCTAACCCTATATTTAACTGGAAGCCAATCAAAGCCAATCAAATTTCTTTGTCCTAGATCAAACCAAGCACCTTCATTTTGAACCAGCTGCAGGCGAGCAATTACTTTATGAGAAAGACCAAAGTACAAAAGATTACAATCCAAAATCATTAAGTGACAGAAAAGTTTTCAATTTTACTATATTCCTTAACTGTTGAAAAAAACCCTCTGATTTTGTTGCTTATCAGACTTTAACTCAAACATCAAGAAAGGCTCCAGGACTCTTTGCATGATTGTGTACTTTACCTTATATTTAACAGTGTCTAACTGATTGATTGTGGGTTCCAAACATTAGTGCTTCTGTCTTTAATACAAGTAAAAAAAAAATTCCTGCTATTACTCTTTTAATATCATTAAACAGGTAAAAAAAAGACTAATGCCTAATTTCCCCCATTTTAGATGCAGAAAATTAAGATTATAAGTTATATTATGTTTCTGAAGTCAGGGATGCATAGAAAATAACAGTGGACCCAATATTGATCCTTGGGGAACTCCACACTTCATCAGAGCAGAAGAGTGAGTAATTTTCTAATTTAAGGAAAGAAAAATTCTCTCTGAAAGATATGATCTTTAATTGAGAACATTACCTTTGATCCCAGCCCATGCACAATCAGTAAACTTTGCAGTGTTTTTTTTTTTTTTTTTTTGCAACAGGTAGCAGATTAGACACTTTAAGACGGGCAGACTCAGTGCTGTGCTGGGCCCTAAAATCTGATTGGAATTTATCAAAAAATTATTATCTTCAAATGTTTTAACTGAAAAGACCATTAGGGCATTGATTGATAGCTCCTTAAATCAATCAGATTTAATGAATCCAGATTAAACAGTTTTAAAATGGGTCACAACTCAGCGTGCTTATAACAACCACATTCAGCAAATTGGAAATTCACTCTTGACAAAAGATTTAACCCAATCAGGTCCAATACCTGAGTAAGGAGACGTAAAGGAACAATGTCCAAAGAAAA